GTATCCATTGAACCGAATCTTGCTTGGTATGAAGTTCTTCCTTTTACTATTGTTGTCCTTACATGAAATTAATATTATATTTTAATTGTTATATGAAAGCTGTTCCTTTTCAATTAACACTACATTGTTGTTCTTATAGGAAATTATTAGTATATTTTAATCAATCTTTATGTGAAGCTAATAATACATTTTAGTCTTTACTTGAAACTAATTTCATGTAATTTGAAAAATAAGGTACGTAAGTAATCCTAAGAAAAATAATAAATTATATGAAGTAATGTAAGTTTGAAAAAACTATATAATTTGCTATATATATTGCTAAGCATGTTCTCCTGATACTGTAGGTGTCATCTTTCAAACACAATAGCAATAATTTACTTAAAATATTAACTTGATTTAGTATGTAGATGCAAATTTTGAATATGGTCATCGCTATTTCTTGATGCAAGAAAGAAAATTTTTTAATTTAATTAATTCCATTAAAAAAAATCTTTCCTATTTCCCAACCTTGAAGAGAAAATTTGGTCAAATTTTAGTAAAAAATGCTGATACTTTTGTCAAATATGTGTTTAGTTCTATATATAACACAAACCAATAAATTAAAAAATTAAAACTAAATTTCTAGAACAAAGGATATAATAGTCAATATAAAGAATGTTTTAGGTAGATATTGCCTATGTTCCATCTACTGAGAAGTTCGAAACTGTTCTCTTTGAGGTGTATAAGCATGTAAGTATCACATGCAGAAGGTGTAAATTAATTGCATGAATTGAGATATATCCAAAATTTTTGTGACTTTTTTGCTTAATTTGATTAAAATACTTGGAACTATGATTAAGATGAATTAAATTATCATTTATCTATTCTGGAAGGTCCCATTCTTACTCTTAAGAGTAAAATAAAAAAGGTTCACACATTGAACCACTTCTAATAGAAGGTACAATAATAATTCTTGCTTCAGAAGATTGAATTAATTTATTCTCATAAAAGATTTACTATAACTAATAGGTTTAACATCTTTTTATAGGAGTTGGGCAATAATGATGCTTACAAACAGACAAAACATAATCTACAAAAAATTCATTGACTTAATTATGAAGCACTTTTTGGTACAGGATAAAAACTACTCATGAATAATCAATTTTCCTTTGTTGATTTCAGCTTTTACTTGGTTTCTTCATGTTAATCAACCAACACTATTATGATGGGCCAATAGTAAACACCAAATACTAGTATATATGTAGGTATTTACTTTATTAAGGACTAAAAGGTAGGATTAATATCATATAAGAACTAAAATATATTTGAAGACTGATGTACTACATCCGATTATTATACACACGTCACTAACCATGTTATCATGACAAATCTATACAACATGGATGAAAATGTGATATTAATTCCATGTAAGGACCAAAAGTTCGAATTTTCTTGCACATGGATTAGTCCATGAACAAGTGCTAATATAGAGATTAAATAATTAATTTATTTTTTTATTTAATGTAAATTTTTTAAGTATTTTAAAAAAATTAATGTGTTTTTTTATAAAAAATATTTATTTATTCTTTAACCAATACACTAAAGCACTGGTTGACAAACCATTTTAAAAAATATTTGTATGTTTTCAATTTATTTTAATGAATTATTTATATTCTTATGTTTCTAATCAATATTATTAAGACCTTTGTTAAATTTAATATTTAAGTAACTAGAAATATTTAATAAAAATGTATTGAATACATTTTAACATCTATCCATAGATAGATAAATAAATAAAATATCTGTATAATATTTTTTTCATTAAAAAATATTAATATTTGCCTTGATGAAAATAATGCTATATTGAAATTTTAAAATATATAAATAGAAAATTAAAATTGAAAAAAAAGTATTTTGTTCAATATTCTAAGGACACTTATTAAAGAGTATTTACTGCTTCACATTAAATTTTTTTCAATTCCTTAAAAATACATTATATAATTTTTACGTTTTCAATGTGAAAAGAAAGTAATAAGAATTTATTTTTTACTTTGTTTCCTTGATTAGTGCTCGATGTTTCTTTAATTAAAAGGGAGTAAAAGAAGTGATAATTATAAATATGTACTTATTATTTCTTTTACAAATTTTAAAAACAATAAATAAATTAATTAAAATGATATTTTATATAATTATTAATAAAATATTTTCTCTTATTAATTGAAATGTTTCCAAGAAATGTAGCAATGCACTGGAGATGTTGGAGTAACATTGAAGCCATGTAAAGTTAAACATTTTGATTGACAGTTCTGGGAATACCCTTTTGCTAACCATGTTTTGATATCATCTGCATTAATAAAGTTGGAGAGATTAACCATTTCAACATACAGGGTCTTGGGTTTGAGTTGCTAAGATGGACTTTCTATAAGAGGAAAGATTAAAAAGGCATTGAAACCTGTAACACTGTAAGTTATGTTCCTTTTTCCTCCATGAGCTATTGAATAAAGCTTTGGGTTGTTTGCTTTTAGAAAAAAGTTTTTTTAACTATAAATTTATTATTTATTTTAAATGTTTCTATAAAAATAGAGAAAATATTTTTTATTATTTTTATTGCTTCTTATTTAAATAATTATAAATAAGAATCAGTATAAAAGAATCTAACATTTTTGTAATTAAAAAATAAAAAGAAAATAATTTTTTGAAATTAAACAACTCCTTTCTTTTCAGAGCAACACGAATTCTTTTCTGAAAGGCAAACAAACTGATTTTTTTAATTTTTTTTATACAACATGAACATGTAAAATTAAACATCCGAAAAGGAAATGCAAATTACTAAATGAACGATCATTGATGGTGAACAGGATGGATTTTAGTTCTCTACATGACCAAGGAATCGGATTCATTTCTTCATTAGGAAAATCGGGCGTGTGACTAAAGGAATAACAAAAAAAGTAACAAATGCTTTCTTAGCATGCTAAGTAATTATACTTCAACTTTACAAACTTTGTTCACATATAATCTTAATACTAGTCTAAATAATTAGAAACTTTTTGCTAGCATATTTTCAAAAATTGAGGCTTAATATTAAATCTTATAAAAACAATCTTTACTATTAATTCATTAAAAAAATAGGAAATTATTATTATTATTATTATTATTATTATTATTATTATTTAATGTATATTTAATGACACACAACAAATAATTTTTATTAAAAATAAATTTTTAATTTATTGTTAACATTAAATGTTATTACTTTAAATAAAATTATTATTAATTCTTTATATTAGGTCTTTTATCAACATTAAAAAAATACACAATAGAAAGATACTCAATTTTGATTGATTGATTTATATAAACAAATAAAGTTTTACTGTTGACTTTCACTTGTTAAAATAATACAATGCTTAGACTTAACTTACTTAAGGTGATTATTTTCTTTATCTAATTTTTCATTAATAAAAGATAAAGTCAAACTAGAAATAAAATATAAGTTCACATTCATAAGGATAACCTGAAATGGAAGCAATTTTTGTTATTAAGTTCAATGGTTAGTGCTATAAAAATATAACTCATAAAAATTGTAATAAGGTAAATAGTAAGATAATGTTAGGAATCGCTTGATTATGTAGGATTTTAAAAACATTTTAAAAAAGTGTATAAAAATTAATTTATAACTCTCATAAGATTTTTTAATTTATTTTAGTAAGTTTATTGATATACTTTATCAAAATAAACTTTTTTAAAAACTTATTATACTAAATTTTGTAATTAAATTTATGATATAAATCTTTATATAATAAGAATTTATTAAATAAATACTTAATTAAGTTGGATACCTAATTGTTCCATTCGTTATTTTAGAAGAGAAAAGGTATTTTATTTTGTAGTTAAGTTAGTGTGTTTGCTAAAACAAATGGAAATTTGTTCTATGGTTAAAAAAGGCCTGTCCATCTCACATATCGAGTATTATGATGGAAACTTTTGATTATATTTTGTGAAAGGAAGTATCTTCTTATACTAGTGTAAATCTAAAAACTATTATACTCAATTTAAACTTTTCATTTAACTTATATCTATCGGCTAGTAAAGTAATAAATTATAACTTGTTAGATATAAATTAAATGAAAAGTTCAAATTTAGTGTAAGAGCTTTTAGACTTATACCAGTATAAGAAAATCATGTCCCATTTTGTGAAGATGTAACATAAATTCTCTTAAAAATCTATATCATATAAGAAAATAATCAATTAAGCGTAAAAATATCTTATTAAAGTAAAGTTTTTGTTCCATCAAATAAGAGAATTAACAATTCGGCTTCGACATGCGTTATTGCGATGAAGCTTCTATTAAACTAGAAAAGGGTATCGCCGTTAAGATGTAAATGTACCTTATTTAAGTAAGTTTTTGTTCTATCACAGGAGATGTAATTGTTAAAACATATATACTCCTTAGTCCAATAGATCTTTTGTCAGACAACGGAAAAGAATAAGCTGTTAAGGCGTGGACATACCTTATACAAATAAATCTTTGGTTATAGATTAAAACCTTATATTTCGTATCTTTAATGAATATATAGGACAATCATATTGTTAGTTTCTTTTAGGAAAATACTTTAGTTTTCTCATATAAGATTCTTTCTTACAAGAGGTTGAGTCCTTTAAAAGGGTTTCTGTGAGATTTAATCTTTGTACATTATTAATTTATTATTCACAGTAGAGATTTTGTCATTGTCCATGAATATAGCGCAACTTGGATGAACCGCGTTAAGCTGTGTCTAGATGTTATCTCTTGCTTAACTATTTCACATTTGTTCTTTGCTGTCTACATATTACTCTAATTTTATTTTAGTTTATTAAGGTTTTATGTCTTCTATCATCAACAAATTTTCTCTCAAATCGATTATTTCCATATTTAACTTTTCTACCTCGATTAGTATTAATATAAATACACGACTTCATGTTCTCTTTTACATAATCCAAATGAAACAAATTATTACAAACAGGACCAGTTTATGGAATGGGAAAATAAGGAAAAATAGTGATGTAATTCATCCAGGTTGAACGATCAGCTTGTGTATGTATAATGAACGTTGTTAACGTCATTCGACACTTAAAATGCAATTTACAGATAAAGAATAAAGTAAAAAAAATAAAGCCTGGAGAATAAGAGGAGGGGGGGGGGGGGGTGTTGCTCTGCGGCGTCATATACGAGCGACGTAGGAATTTGCCTGTGTAACATACCTAACCCACCGGTATGGCTCATGCGTCGCAGATTTCTTTGATATCTGCAAATACTTGACCTGTATGTAGAAAATATATTAAGCACTTCACATTCAAACGAATCCTTCTTTTGGTTTTGCCAGAACATTCATGCCAACTTCAGTCACGCAATGCTCAACACATGTAGATGGCAAAGTATTTTCATGTTCTGTTTTAGCAAATGGCATTTGGCACCCAAAAATTTGATTTTAGCATATGATATTAACAAAATTATTAGTTTAACTGGCCCAAAACATCGAATGGGTGTTTTTCCAACCTGATTGAGAAAGAGAAAATGGGGTGAGACGAGGTTGTTGCTGTTGTAGGGGTGGTACCGCTATTTCATAAAAATGACATGCGTTTGCATTCACGTTGAGTATTTAATTATCATCAAAAGGAATTATATACCATGTTCGGGGATAACTGACTACTAGCATGACCAAGTTTTGAGACATGGCTGCTCAAACACAGCACATATAGAAACCACATGACAAATAGAGAACAAGAATCACAATAGTGTATCTAATATTAGACTAATTTTTATTATGAACAATTTTAAGGAGATCACCGAATGAACACCATCAAATTAATCTAATAGGGTAGCACATGTTTGATAAAGGAAAGGTATTTAGTCAAATCAAAACTGGAAAGGAACCAGCGAGTTGACATAATCAGTTTACCTGAAGCCGTGATGCATTATACATTGGTATAGTAAATGTCATGCTAACAGGCCCAGATTCTTTCGTTATATTAACTGTCAAGAAACAAATTTGCACAAATATGATATATTAATCACTCACCCAAAGAAAAAGCAAACAATCCATTTTGTGCATGCACCAACTATAAGCATAAATACCGTGTGATTCCTGAGAAAAGGTTAGTTTTGCACGTAGAGTATGCTCAGATCCCCCAACAATCTGTTTGGTTGCACTTATCAGTGACTATTTTATCAGAAATTAATGACCAGAATCATGTACTTTAATCTTTCTTTGAAGAGTGACAATCAATGACACCCACAAAAAAAGGTTGAGAAATGACAAGAAATATTACCTTCTTTAAATTCCATTCTAGCCTCTTATTTGCTTCTTTAAAATCAGTTGTTTGTCCAACAGCTGCAGGTTCCAGCTCAAAACTCACCCTGAAACAATTCCGTATAACAATTTACATCAGCAACTATAATACAAGTCATCATTTATCCATAGGGTAAAATGGGCAAGAAGCATGATATGCTAACCTTTGTAGTACAGTTATAGAAACAAAATACTGTGTGACATTCTTTAGAACGTTATTGATTATATTTTTTTAAAAATTCTACCATGTGTAGTGTTTAGTCTTAGCCAATAGCTTAAGGTTTAAAGAGCGATGGTACTTGACACAGTGGAAGTCTTCCCTTGAACTCTTTTTTCAAACTACACATGCTCACCCAGATTTCATACATTTGTGTCATGAATTGTTGGGTGAGAGCACATGAATGGTTCTATATGTAATACCCCCTTAAACAGGAGCCCTCAGTGCATGAAGCATCCACAGGCCCACCCTTTCTGGCAGTAAGGATCAAAATCTAGACCACATTATCATAGAGGCTCTAATATCATATAATGAACTAAGTATCCCAAAAGCTTAAGCTACTGGCCAAAAGCACATTAATGGTTTTATATGTAACAAATTAAGTGGTGTGAAGTGTGAACCACATGAGTGTGCCAATTATTACAAACAACTGATGATCTGACGATAACTTTAGAGTCTAGTGACACACAAATATTGACAATTAATAGGGTATTCAAAATTCCTTTCAGCATAATCAGTGTTAAAAAGCAACCCTATATATCCAAGGGGAATTGTTAAAACTATATAATTAGTACTCGTAAAATCAGTCAACAATGTCTTCATGATTTTATTACCCAGCTTTACTCTTTTGCAAAAAACTCCTTAGGTGAACTTTAGTGAGGATTCAAAAGACTTCAATTTTTAAATGCATCAACAAGTTCTGTCAAAAATTTCCAATTAAAAGAAAATCAGAGTCAAAGATAAATTCTGGTTATTTAATAGATTAAAACCTGATGGTACACTTTGGTAGTGGCATCTGCACTTTGATAGTGTTTGCTGCTACACTTGAGGCAAACTCAGCACTTACTTTAAGAATTACTTCTGCCTGCAATAGCAATTTCAATTGTGTTAGTGACTGCAAGAAAAGACACAGGATTGTAAGTAAACACACAAAAATACACACAATGAAAAAAAGGGGGAGGGGAAAAATTTGATAATATCTTCATAATTTGACACATTTTATTTGAATTGATAGTTCTGATACATTCTAAAACATTGAAAATATTATTCAAATGTCAAAATGGTGCAAAAAGAATTTATTAAAAGGATATAGAGAATTATGATAATATTATTCCCCAACCAAAATTGCTATTGTTCAAGGAAAACACACACAAGATAAAGAAAAGATAAAAGACTAACCTAAACAAGTTTTAAACAAAAGATAAAGAATAAGGGGACAAAAACTATTGTAAAGTAGGAATCACCTTAAGGGACCCTGCTTCTTCAATTAAAGCATTAATACGAAAAGGAGGCCTAAATTCCTGTGTCATTCGGTAGTTCATGACTGGAAATTCACCATCCGGTGGTACCTAAAATTGGCAGTATACCATTGAAATAATAAATAATCAAAAGGAACAAGTCCATAAAGTACCTTTATATTATGAAATTTAATGATCAAGATTACTTTTGTACTCACCAGGGATAGTGTTCTGTCCATTTCAAAACTATCAAGACGAACAGATTCATGGAAATTACAATCATCTAATATAACTGTTCCTGAGCCAGCTGAACTTCTATTACCTGCTCTAGAAACATTTCCAAATATCAAAATCATTACATATGTTGGAAGACCGCAGGAAACAATACTTGAATCAGTGAGAAAGTCAATGGGAAAAAGATTCAAAAGGAATAACAATGAACAGTTGAAGAAATTAACATGATACTCCCAAAGTTATGTCAAAGAAAGTTTCATAGCAAAAACATCAATGAATACACAGTTGTTTATCTTCATATTGTTAATCAAAATTCATAAGATCAACATATGGTTTCAACTGCCCAAAATCAAACACCTGTATATATAATAGTCAAATTTGTTGATGCATTTTCTTTCTTGAAATGGGAGGATAAAATCCTAAGCATAAATGTTTAGTTGACAGAGAACTGGGCATTAAAAATGACGAAAACTGAAAAAGATACCGTAAACTGCTCCCTGGCTTCTTCCAATAGTAAGGTCTTCATTAAGAGCTAATCGAATTTCAGGATTGCCAGAAAGATAGCTCTTCATTTGTATGGTGCCATCAATTTCAGAAGTCAGAATATATCCCTGATCAAATCACATTTAAAATACTAAGAACGATGAACAAAACATATGACAAGTGAACCATTTGAAAATACAACCCCCCAATAATAAACAAAGCCCTATCACACTGAGTAGCACTTTAAACACAAATTAAATAGAACAAAAAAATCATGCTAGAGAGAGTCAGCTAAATTGATTAAACAATGTCATTTCCACCAAAACCAAGTTTTTCTAAAGACTTATAGATTGTGCTTGATCTTTAAGAGTCTTTCTTGACATCCTCTACCTCAATTTATTAGACTATCAATAGGAGTATTATTAGGACCAAGGACATAGGAATGAAAAATGTGAAAGCAAAACAGAAGATAGAGCTACAAAAATAGTTAGGTGGTTAAAAGTAGTTTGTTACAAAATTGGCTAGATAGTTAGCTTAAATAGTAGGGAGGGGAGTAGATGATTTCATTCTGCATTCTTAGTATTGAGAGAACCAAGCATTAGCTAAGATTTTGAAAGGAAAACCTCTGGATTTGGAACGAGAATTCCCTTCTCTATAATTCATACAGTTTTATCCTTTCTTTTTCAATTTTCTCTGGCCTTTCTCTCAGAAAACTCAAGATTCTGTTTTTGAGTTTGTAACAACTATTCTGCATCTAATTGGCTATCTTCAGTAGAGCTTATATTGGTCGGCATCTCACATGGCCAAACCATCATAGGCAAGATTCTGCCATATTTTACTCAGAGTGCTACTTCTACTTCCTTTTTAATACGTTCATTCCTGATCTTATCTTAAATTAATCCTAAAACGTTGCTAGTCTACTATAATGCATCACAAAAAATTAATCCTACATTGACTTATTTCATTAAACAAGTTAAGCATTTCTATTATGTATTTAAGTAAAGAGTAAGTCAATAAAATTTTAATTGAAATTAATGTTTCTTTACTTATATTAACTAAATGACAAGTAATCAAGAATCAAGAGTGAAATTTGATCTCAGATATCCATGCTCTCAGCACATCATAATTATGCTTTGCCAATTAGAATCCTGAAAACCATATGCAAAGCATCTATACTCAGGATGCATGATTGATGAAGCAATAATGGAACAACAAAGTAAAATTCAGAGTCATTTAATATTTTAAGATGTATTTACTAACACTAGAGCTAAAAGTGATGCTGATTTTCTCAATTATATCTACAAAGATTTCTTCCCTCCTTCTACCCCCAGGCTCTGTAGCAACAACAGATTTTGTGACAGCTATCCCTGGCATTCTTTTAGTCCCTTGCTGCATGCAACCAAAATTAAGAATAAATAATAATACCATAAGTGAAAGTGATAATTACAGAAAAATAATAAGTGCTGCATAAAAAAAATAGATCATCATACCGCAAACATCGCAGCAGGGCCAAGGGGTAACATACGTGCAGCATCAATTACAAGCGGCTCATTGAAAATATAGGACTTCAACAATTCAGTAGATGTTGTTTGTACGTAGCCAAAATCCTTCAAACAATGACATCAGGTTGCTCAAAAGTAAGATTTTGGATACATAATTGACTGACTGTAAATCACAGGTCAAAGGAGTAAAACATAAAAATGTTTCCAAATAGGCACTCACAGTTCTTCTTCAACAAGAAAAACAGATACAACATCCATCAGAAATTTAGAGAAGTTTGTACTTTCTGTTTTACATTTCCAGAAAAATATTACAAACATATCTGTCATGTATATTGAATGCTACTGTTATTAACAGTTCAAAATTTTACTTCCCGATGGTAGTGAGATTTGATAGCAAGGAAAATGAGCCTCAAGTGTGAAGATTAGATTAATAAAAAAGGGGGCTAGCTAATTTAATTCAATGAAGCATTGCAGTTAAGAAAATATATGACTGAAATTAGGCTCAAAAGAAGTAAACAACCAAATAGAGCAAGAGTGGAAGCTCACAATAACTTCATCAAGTAATTCGTACACAAGCACAAAATTTTTTCGCAAGGAGTCTTCATTGAGAATCCCAAGGTAATCCTTAATAACACGAGCAATTCTTTGTAAAAGCTCCAAGACAAAAGAAGGTGCTATATTAACCCTTGTAGTTGCTACAAACAATAAGCCAACAACTTTCACATGAAAGTAATTTACACCATCCACATTCTGTCAAATGAACAAACAAAATAACACAAGAAATCAGTGTATTCTACCAGAAGAATTGCAAAAGACATAAAGTGAATAGAAATTCACAGCTTCAATAAAAACGATTTTATGAGATTCAAACACATTTTAAATTTGAGTAAATTATATATTATTATGTTGCTATCAAAACCATAAGCAGATGACATTGAAAATAATAAATATCAATAACAGGAGCAGGACATAGTGATAGTTAGCATGACTGATCATTCATCTAACAATAATCAACAGACCAGAAACCTTTCCCCTTCCATTTATACATTAACATTTTAAACACTTCAACTTTTTCAATTGTAAAATGCGAAGCAAAGGTGTAGGAAATTGGATATTCTATGGTGGTTGATATCCCAATGAAAACAACTATATTATAGGATAGAAAGAAAAGTGATCTAGGGGAGAAAAAGAAGATGCAATTATTAATTAGAGTACATAATCTTTCAAGCCTAAAGCACATTAAATATGCTCTGCCTGATTCCGAAAGATAATACCTACAAAGACAGGTGGTGCCTCCTGCAGCCCCCCATCTTCCCAAAACTTTACTTTACGGAAAAATATCTCAGCACTTCCCTTCTGAACTTCACCACGGTCTGCAATCAAGATAAACTTAGTAATATTCACTATGACAGTAAAAGTTCCAAGCATTAGGATAGGTTAAAATTTTATTCAATATAAAAACTAACATGATGATAAATCTCTAGCGATAATAATGATGTTCCCCCCACTCCATCCACCCTTCCCAAAAACACTTGCAGAATAGAAGCAGCCATATGTCTGCATTCCATTCAGCCATATTTTAATGTTCAATTTCCTTGACCTGGGAAATCCGAAACTACAAGCAGCAACATAAAATGAGGAAAACACAGAGAGAAAACTGAAAAAGAGACAAGGTAAAACCAGAAGCACCAACTAGATTTCGAACTACGGTTTAAGAAAATCCATGTAGCAGCGCAATGGCTCCCAAAACTTGCAGTGAATACAAGTAGCAGATAAAAACACGCATTTTTAGTGTGTTATAGGACAGCTTCCAATTCAGATCTCACTAATCTTAACCTTCTCTTAAAATGCATATCTACGAACACATTCCAAATTCTAACGGATCCAGATGTGTTACAAAGTGTTTGAGCTCGTGTAGCAAAATTCAAAAGCGCATTAATCTAATCTAAATCTTAGTATTCAGATATCTTTAAAAGAAATTAGCAACGGAATACTCGTCTTCATTGATTTCCAGGGAAGTAAATAGCAATTAGCGCGCAATCAAGATGTGATTCAAGTAAGATCTGGAAGCGCGAACTCGAATTACCGAATATTGAGTTAGCGATAGTCTTACCCCGGATCAGCAAGCTAAACTAAAACATTCTAGTGCAACATGAATCAATCAATACATTGGATTAAAAAAAAAAAAAGCAGCACCAGATCCGAGAACAAAAAACAGAAGAATCGCAATGGAAATGTGTGGTGTAGAGAGAGAACTAACAGTCTCGAAAAACAATGTTATCGCCACGCTGTGAGAGGACGAAGAACTGCGAGATCATGGCTTCGCTCGATGCACGCAGCTGCTACTGCCTATGGTAATGGCTATTGTTTTCTGAGCTATGAACAGTTCGGTCTTCGTTGCATTTAACGGCTGTATATATATTTTTAATTATAAATAATTTCTTATTCGTTCTATAATTACTGTGGACTTTTATTTCGTTGGATGTAAAAGAATAGAGGGTTAATTATATTTTAATTTTTTCAAAAAATATACATTAAATTTTATTTTTATAAATTTTTTTAATAATACTTATTATTTTAACAATAATTTTTTTATATGTCTGAAAACATATGGTGATAAATAAATAAATAATAATTTTTTTATTAAAATTATAAATTTAACATTATTAATGTATTGAATTGAATTTAAGATTATATATTTTTAATAAAAATTTATTATATTTTTACCACATGTCTTTAAGTATATATTAAAAAATTTATTTAAAAATATTAATTTTAGTATCTAATTACTATTAAATAATAATATAATTAATTTAAATATTATCACATTATTTTTCAGATTTTGTTAACTTCAGTTTTTAGAATTAAATTTTAACATTTAAAAATAAAAAATTATGAAAAAATAATTTAAATTATAAAATCACAATAAATATTTTTTAATAAAATTTTATCATTAATAATTTCTTATTTTAAGGCTGAATTCAATAACTTTGTTTTTTTGTAAATCATATCAGTAAAATTTACCAAAATTAATTTTTTTAAGAACATTGAGATTAAAATAAAAAAAATAAGTATTTTGTATAGACTAGAATTAAAATTTAAGTATATATACATACTTTTATACACGACAATAAATTTTAATTTAGCTTACATATTAAAAATAATCATTAATAATTTACACTTTAATGGATAGAAAGTGAAATAGATAGAAACGTATCTGTTTTATATAAATATATATATATATATATATATATATATATATAGTAAAATTATGTTTTTAAATAAATAAATAAATAAAAGAAAGTAAAAATCCCTATATTTACTCAGATAGATCAAAAAATTAGAGTGAAGAAATATTTGTTTAATAATAATAAATTTAATTTAACAAAAGATCTTTTATTATAATACTTTTCATTAAAAAATTATTTTTACTTCTTACAACTTTTTTATACAATATAAAATAGTAATTACTACAGCAATAATTAAAAACACGAACCACCCAAAAAAAATAAATTCACATGTTCCTCTTCTTGCTCCTAACAAAATGGCCCTGCATATTTTGTGAAGAAAATTCTATGGTATGCATGGTGTGCAACTCTTTTGTATCTCATTCCTCTTGCTGTTGAAACTAAATAGACATCTTACAAATCCAAGACATCGTGATTCCCTCATGTAAACTCTTTTAGAATGGTTTTCATTTTCACCAGTAATATGTTGGTAGAGAAAAGAATTAAATAGTTCTTTAAAAATATACAAATGTGAAGATCATTGCATGGAAAGATTACCAAGCTCAAAACCATTCATAAAACTCAGCACTCTTCATATAACTCACCTTCTCACATCACTTTAAAGTGGATTAAGTTTACCCGTTACTTTAAGTTAGTAATAAATAAGGGCATGTTTGATATATTTTATTTTTAAAAACAGAAAACTTTTTTTTAAAATAGAAATCAAACATGATCTAAATCTTGAGTTTTTTATTTGTACACTTTCTTAGTTCAACCTGGTACATATAAATGTGAACAGCTTTTGCTTCATTACATTAGCTTCCAGAAATATTACAATCAGAACAAAGTTGACACGGTATTTAGCATAAATCATTCCTTTAATTCTGGCATTTAACATAAGCTTTATTGAGTTATATGCCTCCAATTGACTTCAGCTTCATGAATGACAAGTTTCAAGCCTGTTGGGATAGCAACAGAGTCAGCACCAGAATTCTTGCTCTTTGACAGCATAACTGCTTCCTTCTTCTTTGACATTGCATTCTTTAAAATCAAGAGTCCATTTCTCAAACGAGCAATTGGAGAAATTATAATACCCTCCATGAAGAGAAAGCAACTCTCTTCTCACTCTATCTTCTATCCAAGGATAACTTAGCAAGTTCACTAATGATTGGTTAATAGATTCCTGTAAAAAATTGAATGACATCATCACTTCAATTGCCTTCCAAAACTAGAATTTACCAAGTGGTACAGAATTATTTTAAGGACAAAACATAAAACTCGTGTTGTTCTTTAGATGCTGTTAGTGTTGTTTATCAATTAAAATTAGAGATTTACTTCAATAAAAAATTTGTATCTAATGTTATTGCACATTACCAAAGTAAAACTCTAATTTTGATTAATAAACAACACCAGCAACACCTAAGTAACTAGACCTAAGTTTTATCCTTAATTTAAGTGCATTTGATTATGTTACTAGTGGCAACTTTCACATGAATTGGCTGCATAATGCAGTATATGGAGTATACCTTCTCACAGAATCTGCATTGCTGATCAAAGCTTAGATGAGCTGTGGCAGCTTTTGTCCTCAATTTGGCAATTCTCCCATTGATAACCCACTTGTTTATAAAGTTTCTGGAGGATGAATGAACAATCATGAGAACTAGAGGAATAACAACCGTTTTAATGGTGAAATAAAATATTTTGAGTTATTGCAGTTAGCAACAGATACCTTGATTCTGCATTTTCTTGCATTCTCATCAGTGTTTCAACTCCAGCACAGCTACTATGACCAATGACTAATATATTCTCAACCTAAAAGTTTCAGCAACCATTTTGAATTGTACAGTTAAACAAGATAAAGCCTACCACAGCATATAATAGATAGTCTTTAGCATTATAATAGTCTCTCTAGCATCTTGTCTCATAGAGAAGGGATATTCAACATTATTTCTTCAATCAAATTCAAATGTTAAACACTCATTTGCATTTTCTGAGATTCTTTGCTAAGTCTTCTACCTAGAAGCTTACTCAGAAATCAATATATTTTTCCATTCTGAAGTGTAAATCTATGTAAGATTCATATAAAACAAAAACTTCATAAATAAGTGGAGTGCTTACCTGAAGTGTAGTTACTGCAAACTCAAGAGCAGCATTACACTCTGATGGTCCATTCTGCCCTCAAACATAATAAAAATGATGAGAGAAATAAAAATTAATCGTTTGAAGGTCCTGTTAGCTACATAGGCAAAAATAATCAGAAGCAATAATGCAAATACCTTCATCACAGGTACAAGATTGGCAATGTTACGTATCATAAATGCTTCTCCTGGTTGGAATCCCAATATGTTAGAGGGGCATACCCTAGAGTCTGCACAAGCAATTACCATAAACTGTTCTTGGATTTATCAGTTAAAACCAATGTCTCAGTATATTTACAACACAGAGAAGTATAGCATACAAGAAGCCAACAAAATTAAGCTAAAATGTGATGGTTTGGAAATTATTCATGCCAAAGAATGAACAGTTCAGAAACAAATAAATTAAATGGACACTGTATATGTTATCACCTTTGGAGATTGAGCTTCAGCAAGTGCTTGAAAATGCCCCAACTCTTTTCTGTCTAGAAGAAATATATCACATAAGATACTAGACTAACAAGAAGAAACAAATTTTTGCAACTATGAAACTCGGAAAAATATGCAACCCAACTCTTACATATACTTTTGGTCCTTGAAACTCAGAAATCTCTGTTTCATCAAACCAAATAAATATTGGTTGTCATCAGCTTCGGCCATGTACCTCACATCAAGACCTTTATTTTCACGACTGGGTCTGACACAATTACTTGGAACCTCTTGTTGTTTCTCCCTACAGTTAATGAAAACTAATGATATAATTGTAATTAAATGTTACTTTTGATTCAAATAATTCAGTCAAATTCATAATTGGCGCAAGAAAAGTGTGCCTATAAATTCACTGTTTTGTTGATAGAAAAAAACGAGGATATTCTTTGCAAGCTTGTATTTGGTATGGCATCAATCTAAATCACTCTGGAAATAATGTCCACGCAAAAAAACCGATGGGGTATAATGACCTTCAATATGGAGTCCTAATCATCAATCAGAAGACAATAATGCATCAAACCATATTTATATGGTTATTTACCAGGAATTCAATTTATGGTGGTTTATTTTTTTACCTTCTTGCTAAATATTTTTATGGTTATTTGCTTTCAAGCAAAGAAATCAAATTATATTATTATATAGTTTTGCATAACAAGTTTGTTCCTAAAGCCCAAGAAGAAACACCATTTCCAACCAAATAACACAAAAACTTTTTAAAGTTCTAACATGAAAAATTCATTGTAGTGAGTAAAAATATAAGCCGGAAAGAACAAGTCTTTCCACAAGAAGTTAGCATCCCACAAAGTGAAACCCCTTTGGTTCAACAAAATTTATGAATAAACTGAAGTCCTTGTTGGCTGGCATCACAAACTTCAACTTACTTGAATGAAGGCAACGATGCTGCAGCACGGCAACCATCCATTTTTACCCAATTCATCTAAAAACCCAACAAGACGAGAAGAAACAAAACAAAACAATATCAGAACCAAACATTGAAATTTGAAAAAAACAGTGTTCGATTAATAGCTTTTAACAACAGAGCTTAACGTAGCACAACAGTGGAAAAACTCACGAATTTTGGGCAACCCCTTGTTGACGCTGAACCACAAACTGGTAAGCACCACCATGAATCCCCATTTACGTATGAACCCACTAAAGGTAATGGTGCCTTTGATCGGAGAAGTGAACTCATTCTGGATCCTGTAATGGATCATCCAGTAATTAAATTACACATTACTAACTTAAATACATTAAATAGAAACTACTACATTTTTTGATAGGTGTAGCAAAACTGTGGTACTAACTAATTGTCAACGCCATCTCTTCGTCTCTCTAACAAATGATGAACAGTGACTAAAAAGTACAAAGTACCTCTGCATCACAAATCATGCCATATTTATCCTTAAAAAAATAGTGAATTAAATTGATGTACAACCTTGATTATTGATTATGGTCTTGTGTTGTGGAATGAGAAGATGCACGTGGCTTGATTGCAAAACGACAAGCGTCGGGAAGATGACATGGATAACACTCAATTATATAGACTTATCCGTTGGTTACACGTTCCCTATAGCTATCCCATTTTGTGGGACTTGCTTGTAGCCACACATCAACGCTATGTCTATTATTGTCTCAAAGTCACTTTCCCTGTTGGCTTTGCAACGTTATCTTCTCCTTTTCCTTGTGCTAGTCTTCCAATTATAAAATTGTGGCTAAGCCCCAAATTTCAATTAGAATTTGTGCAATCATATCTTAGAGGGTCAACCAAACGCATTCAATCAAGGATATGTTTAGACGATAGGTGAAGGAAGATAAATGTTTTTTGTAAACTAAGAGTTATATAATGTTTATGAAAAAAACAAATATATTATTTCTTTAAATCTAATTTAAAATATTCTAAGATATCTTTGATATAAGAATTTAAGTTCGATATAGCATATTTGTTGATGCTTAAATTTAGAAAACTAATTGGATTTTTCAAATTCTCTGAAAATTCTGGTAAAAAGATATTTATTTCTTTAAATTAAATAACTATTTCCGCTCAAGTCAGTTAGGAAAAAGTAAATAATAAATAAACTTTGACAAATGTGTTTTTTAAAAGTTTCTCTTCTATAGATTTCTGGAGACTTCTTGTGTGATTATTTTTTAAAAGTTTCTCTAAATACCAAAATATCCTCCTTCTTTTTCCTCCATAGTTCAATATACTAAGATGAATATCTATCTAATTTTAACTTTATATTTTTGGCTTAATTACAGTTTTAATTTTTATACTTTAAATTATGTATAAGTTTAATATTTTTATTCTTAATTACTCAAATGTAGTTTTTAAAATTTAAAACTATTAAAATTAAATCTCTCACTATAAAAGTTTATCATATAATTAACAAAAATATAATAGAAATGTAACATATTATTTTGTATAAATTATTTTAATAAAAATATTGAATAAAAAGATGATAAAAAGTGAGCTCGAATTTCACTATCACATGAGAACCTTGTTGGTGAACAATTTGTAAACACTCTTTCAACCTTAAAACATGTATTAAGCCGAGTAAGCTTCTCGGACCCAACTCAACTAAAATTTTTATTATAAAAAACTATAAAACATTTAAACAGGAATATTAAACCAAAGCCTTTTTCAGGTTGCCTAATTTTTCTTTGCTATGCTAAATCACGTCCTTGTTATATTTGTTAATTATTGAATAAAATTTGAAAATAAAAAATTTATAAAACTTAAATGTGAACAATTAAAATAAGACAAAATTAAACTAAAATGTACAATTGAATTTTTTTTATGAGTTAAATAATTCATTTAACTTATCACTAGGTTTCTCCATATCCCATATTAAATAACAAACTTTTTTTTTTATTGTTATTACAAACATTTGCTTGAAAATTTTTGAGTTAGCCGAAGAAAACTCACAAGCGAAACATTAGATTATTGACATTCTAGTATATATAAATTAAAAAAACATCATCTACTTACCTAGAAATAAAAATGGCGTGTCAAATTCGGCCAATCGAAAAACCTAACTAAACTTGTACATATTTATTGCACCCAAAAAACCAAAACTAAACTAAACTAATTACGTGTTAGACAGTTAGCAGAAGTCCCCATTCTTGAGCAAGAAGGCAGAGTCAACCTCACTGCTAGGAGAACCATAACAATCCCTCCCTCGCTTCTGGCCCAACACCACCGGGCCCATTCCAAAGCCCACAAAAGCCCGATTCTCTATCACAGCCTTCAAAGCCCGTTCCAACGCCCGAACCTCCCCTTCCTCCACCTCCTCTCTTCCTTCACCATCAGCTTCAGGCCACTCTATCACCACAACACTTTTGCTCCTTCCCCCAACCGTCATCATCTCAGCCCGAACTGCCTTGGCCCGAACCGACCCGATTGCCCGACTCAAATCCCGGTTGAGACCGGGCCGGTCCTCGCAACATAGCGTCACTTTCATCCTTCTCGCTTCCCCATCATCACCGTCCCAATAACTCAGCGTCGCCTCGTCACACTCCCCAGGAAACGGCCGCGGTTCAGGCCGAACCGAACCTGGTTGGCCGCTGCTTGACGACGCTGAGTCTCCGCATGCCACGTCATCCGCTTGCTTCTTCAACCATTTCACGTGCTGAACCACTTCCGCCAGCAACGAGGCCTTGTCTGACTGCAAAAACGGCACAAAGTATGAATTTACAACCATGCCCTCAAACCATGCAGTAAGATTTAAAAAAAATAAGGATAGTAATGAAACTTGAGAAACTTTATTAAAACATAATTATTATATTAAAAAAAAAAACACTTATTCAAAATGTAACATGAATGTGAATATTAATATAATAACCTTGGCAGCGTTGGGGAGCAGAGAACGCAAGGTGGAGAGGTGAGCGTTGATTCGCTGCCGGCGTCTCCTCTCGGCTTCCCTGTGACTTTTGCATGCTTCTGTTGATTTTCTCTCAGTCTTGGATCTTCCACAGTCTAATTGGACAGCGTTTTTTATGAACGAAGTGGGAACATCAGAGTCTAACCAGCTCTCAAAACCATAGAATTTTCGGAAGGGAAGCATTGTGTTATTGTTTGTGATATGGAGAGGGAATGAAGGTGTTATGTAATGAGAGGTTATGGTTTAGGCTGTGTTGCTAGTGAGGTGGTTTAGGTCTACGGCGTACGGAGTATTGAGCAGCTTTTTAGGTAGAACAGTGTGTAGTGTGTACGTGAGAGGGCACAAGGTGAAGAATGAGGGAGCAAACTTTAAACTGTTGTGGAAGAATGGGATCCCAACAAATAAGCACTGAACAGTACCTTTTTAATTGTTATAACTAAAGTTATGTATAAAGTAAAAAATTTGAAGTTTCATATTTATCATTAAATTACTTTTAAAAAAATCATTTCTATATTGTCACACTTAATAAAGAAGTAAGAAGTGGATTCAAAAATAAATTATGTACAAAATGTGAATATAAAAATATAATTATTATTTTAAATTTTTAAAAATAAATGAATAAAATAAGAAGAGTATGGGGAGCTCTGCCCAAGGTGGGAGAAGGAATGGGAATTGAGAAATAGGAAGGTTAAAGGATCGTGAGTGTGACCTCTGAGAGACCGGGGAATAAATTAGTGCCTGTACATGTGTCTACAATGAGAGACAGAAAATTGGTCAGAGACTAAGAGCATTTTTTTTCCTACTCTCGACAATTAATTATATATATAAATGGTGTAGCCTTTTCAACATTTAATAATTTTTTTGGAATTAATTTGACTGTAATTTTAATTTTAGTAGTTACTTTAATTGACAAAACTTACTACTAGTTAGTTAAATATTTTTTAATCATTAAGTAACCTTAGTTTTACAGCTTGCTTTTGTTTTGTGCTATATGAAGTGAAAAGAGGAGAAAATAAGAGAAAGTAAAAATGTGCTAAATAATATGCTGTGAGAAGAAAAAATATATTAAAAAAAGTAAAAGAGAGACAAAAATATTGTATAAATATATTAATATAATTGTTATTTTGACTTTATTATTTAATTAAAATTAAAATTTTTAGAATATAGAAATATTCAAGATTAACGTTTATTATTAAAATAAACTTTTATTTTAATTAAAAATAATAGTAAAACATGTGAAATGATGAATGTTGTTTTAACACTAGGTAAAAAATTGCACCTTCCATAATTTGTATCACATGATTAAGTATAAATTAAATCAATTTAATATGAATAGTCACAATCAAACTAGTAATTAAATTGGAACTTAAATAAAATTGTATATATTTTTTTAAATTAATCCATTTTTATTCAATATGAACAATTTTTTATTTATGAAATATCTTATGCGTAAAATTTTTAAATTTATTTCTATTAATAATTTATAATCTAGATTTATGATTTGCTTACTTTGGTGAATGTCATTACAAATTGAATTCAACTGATGAGATGAGATACTTGACAGGATTTTAATTTGTATTTTAAAATTTATATTTACGGTCCCGTAACGTAAAAGAAAAAAAAAACAATTTAATCGAGATGAAATTTATACTCAAAACCAATCCAATTTTATTTTATTAGATTAATAATAACATTCACTAGTTATATATATTCAAATTAATCATATATTTTTATCATTAAACATAAACCTCCATAAGTTAGCAATGGTTTAGATTAAACATTTGAAATAAGAAGATAGATGTGGAAAATGGATTTAACTGCTAATGGTAGAATATACGGTGAGAAAGGGATAGTGAGAAGTGATGTGAGGATATTAGTCCTTGACGATGAGATTCATGGAGTACAGGTAATGGTTGTGTTTGGTGCAAAAAGGAAAGAAGGAGAAGCAATCATTTTCAAAGGCAAAAAAAAACTGTTACTTAGTGGACTCATTCCTGCAGCCGGCGCCGACAGCTTTGTTGAGGGAATCAAAATGCGACAGCTATTCAGTGATGCCCTAAGCCGACAACCTCTTTTGCTGTTTCCATCACTTGTTTTACACCACCGTTCCTCTTCCTATGCTATCGCTTTCACATAACCGCTTTTGTTCCTATGCTCTATTAATCACCCCAAAACAAACCCCCATTTATACTACATGAATGGGGATCTGATATTAATGCTATTGATTATAATTTTTATACTAAATTTACCTTTCGAAGTTTTTAATGTGTTTCCAAACACATACCAGTGGATATCATACTATACTCAGATAAAAGCTCTGACCCGCTTCTGCACAAGAGAACTACTGTTTCTGTTAATTTGCATTTCGCTGTTTACTTTTGTTTATTCTTGAGGGGTAAAATCAAAACGATGAGAAAAAAAAAAGTGAATGAGGGTTTTACAGCCATTTATGCACGGATATGTGCGTGCATGCATGGTATATTTTCGGGGCTGCCTATTCACACTATTGTTAATTGGATATATATTAGTTATCATGTGTTTAAGCTAATAATAGAGAACAAACCCATGACAATCTCTGCATCTTAACAACAAAATATCATACATTATAAGGGATTATTGATCCTTCATTCATGATAATGTAACACTCGGTAGAAGAAGTTACCGATCCATTGTTAGCAAATAGCCACAACCCAAAAAATAGATTAAATTAAAATATTTTTATTCAAAAATAAAGATAAATTACACTTTATATCCTTGTAATTTCATGTGTTTTCTATATGTTTTCCAATTAATAAATTCTTTCTTATGGAGACACAATGATAAAAAAAAAAAGTAACAGTACTACAAGGTAAAAAAATAAATATAAAAAATATTAATGATATTAAAAAATAAATTTAAAACAAAAAATTAGAGAAATAAAGTGTAATTTACCTAAAATCAATTTCATTATTATACGCATCAATTATAAGGACTGGCTGGATAGAGTGTCGAAGTGTATGCTAGATTCTTCTTACCTTTTTGTTTTTTACCAAACTCTGCTCTTGAAGAAAAAGATCCATAATTAATGCGTTTATAAAATAAAACAATATGAAAACCAAGACATTGATAAAAACAAACTGTACTGTACTGTAAAATTTCTAGCAATTCAAAAAGAATTTTTTTAACGTGTGCAATGTATAAATGTTGTACAGGTAATAAATTATATAAATAATTTTTATTAAAAATTACATAATCAATATAATTTAATACATTAATGGTATTAAATATTAAATTTTTAATAAAAATTTATCATATATAATTTTTTTATTCCGTACAAAATAATACACAAATTACAAAAATTAAAATAAATTATTTGACTAATTCCTTTTTTGGATGGCATTCATATCAAAATTTCTCCCTTTTTTATGGATTAAGTCGTAAATTCTTAGAGCATTTGCACTCAAGTTATATATTAAATTTCATTTACCCTAAATAATAATAATAATAAGTTGTTGTTGCCCTGATATATAATATTCCTTCTGGCAAGGTTCGCTTTAGTTGGCATCCATCCAAATCTAATAATTGTCAAGAAAACACCCAGTACCTTTTATAGGGGTAGCACTGCATCAAAGTTTGTCACAAAAGAGTTGATCGGTAGAAATGAAAATCCAAAGTGAAGAAAAACTTTATTTCATAATAGGAAAAAAAATAAAAAGTTAATTTTGTTGGATAAACAGAAAAATAAAGTAACAAAACCTAATATTCATCATCCTTATACGTTTTAAGAAGGGGCACAATGGATCTATCATTTTTTCCTCTTATTCTACAGCAGACCATTAAAGATAATGCACCTAAACATTCTTAATAATTTCTTGCCTCGTATCCTAACTAGGTGAGTGTAGATAAAAAGTTAGAAGCATGAATGCAATTGGTCACTCCATTATTTGCTGACATATTCTTTCTTCCCCACCTATTGGTTTACCACATTCCTTCTCCATTGGCTGACCCAGTTAAGGTTACTTTTGAAAACAATAATAAATAAACAAATATGAACCAGAACATTATGCATGTGAATATGTCGGGTGGACCCCACAAAGGAGGAGCAACTAAGAAGGAAAGATCAACATCCTATGTCAGTGCTCCGCCAGCAAAGAGCAGATGAGACTTAAGATGGTATCACCCAATCCATAGGAGGCATAAGGCATATCATACACCTGAATTGTTCTGCTTAAACTGCATACAATTAACCACAAATTCATTTATATATATATATATTACTAACCCCATTTGTTTTCTCTCTAATGTATGTGTTTTTTCATTTTTTTTCCCTTTGAATAGTAATAGTTTGGATGCATGTACTATGATTTTGACATGTCTATGATGCAATGAGCATGTCTGCAAGCTCACAATTCGATTCGATTTGTCCCGAACGCCCGATTAATATAATAATTGGACCCCACTTTGTTGCTACTGCTCATTTATCTTTCATGGTGAGCCCCCACCTATTCATCTACACTAGCAACCTTGACAATAATAATAAACCAAGGAGAATAAAGAGATATTGGGCTGCACTTGAGAAATGTTTGCATGATATGGTACAAGTTGATCTCTATTTTCATGTACAAATATCTTAAGTTAGCAATCATTTTTCTTGTCCTCTTAATCCCTCCATTGGTACACACTCTTCTCTTCAATTATATATCAAATACAAATCCTTCTTAATTTTTTTTACCATTAACTTCAGCACATAATAACTAACTTCAACTCAATCAGCCAACGCTTCACTTCAATATTCACGAAGGTGTGGTAGACTGCAGACTGCAGAATCAACAAAAGCAAGAATCAGAAAAGAAAAGAGAAAAATTACAAACACTCGAATATAACCAAGTTAACTGAAGTTAACTTCTTAAGTCTAATAAGAATCAATAGATCATAGAATTTTTTTTATTAAAAATCAAAAAGTGAGTTCATTTTTATGCTTTTTAATAAAATATTTTTTATTTTAAATTTGTTAACCCTCTGAGGATGTTAGTGCTTTTTTAATTAAAATCTGCAGAAGTAAATGTTAATAATAAGGTTAGATTTAATGATATTAAATGAGACTAAAATTATTATATTATAATACTATTTTTATTTCTACTCATTTGTTCATATAAAAATTTTAGGTAATAATAGTTGTTATTCTTTTATTAATTATCTTTTTC